GCATTTGGGGTGAATGCGGGAGCAGCTTTCGTTCGTCATTTCGCGAAGATCCTCAGAGCTGGGACTCATTCTTGCAAAAGCCTCAAATTGACACAAAATCAACGAGATTGACCGTCTCTTTATGTACTTCTGGCAAAAATATATTTTAAATGGTTTGGTACATTTTGGTATACTCTAATTTGTCTGTATGTCTGTGTATGTCCGTGTCAACGTCTGTCGGCAATACCGGGTTTAAGTGATTGCAGGAAAAAGCCTTACATCAGACCCGGGTCATCAAAGCAAGCTTGAATCTGATTGCGTGCCAAGTGAAATTATGAAACTATCTAAACTTTCCCTACCACGATGCCAAATCACAAAATAATCATCCAAATATCTAACAAATAATTTAAACCGAAATTCTCTGTTGGTCCACTAATTCGACAAATTCATGAGAGCTGGGACTCATTCTTTCAAAAGCCTCAAGTTGACACAAACTCGACAATATTGACCGTCTCTTTATGTAGTCATGACGAAAATATATTTTTTAAATGGTTTGGTACATTCTGGTATACTCTAATTTGTCTGTATGTGTGTCAACGTCTGTCGACAATACCGGCTATAGCTTTGAGCGATTACAAAAAAGAGCCTCGCATACCTTCGAGGTTTAATGACCCAAAAGCAAGCATGAATGTAATTGCGTGCCAAGTGAAATTATGAAACCATCTAAACTTTCCCTACCACGATGCCAAATCACAAAATAATCATCCAAATATCTAACAAATAATTTAAACTGATATTCTCTGCTTGTCCACTAACTCGACAAATTCACGAGTTATACACGAAAAGTGGTTAGAATTCGGTTACTTTTTCTAAATTTTGTGGCATGGCATGGGAAAGTTGGCTGGAAGGAATTCGTGGTGTGGTCTCACCGGAAACCGAAGGAATATTGTCGCGTAGGGAAGACTGATGAGTTGTGCGTAGAAGTCCTCGGCTCACCGTCCTGCGACCCTGATGAAACTGTGCTAAGCTGTCGTCTGTACCACCGTGACAGACACTATCAGAGCAATATTCTATACTTTACGAAATAGAGCAAAAATATGCCAAAACAAGAGAAATAGGGGGCCAGCAGTAAGCATAGTCGTTTTTTATACACCCAACATCGCGATCTTAATGAGACATCCCATGATTTGGTTGATACTTCAACCTTACTCTACATGCTTGCAAATGAGTGAAGTCAACTTCCCCAACCTCAAATACATTCGGTAGCAGCTGTTTTATCACACAAAAACTAGCATACAATCGCCTAGTGCTAAATCATGTATGGACTTGTGCTATTGTCTATTGTGTGTATGTAATGCTCATGTCATGGATGGCATTATAGTCACTAGCTAGACACGAGGTTAATCCAGCCTCCTTCTCACGCTCATTGGCACTTTCTGTACCGCCTCTCTCCCTTTCTTTAACTCTATCCAACAGCTACAAAAAGTTCATACTTCGTTTTCCACACTCGGTCCTTCTATCCAGGACGTTGGCTGTTTTGTTAATATCCATGGAGTGAAAGTGTTTGTTGACTAGATTCGAAGATCGGTTCCACCAGAAGACGACAGCGGATTCCTCTTGACCAGCTGTCGATTGGCTTTACTGGAACATTCATACTGATGCTGTTTCCGAGGTAATCTCCTTCGATTCCGATGAAAAGGTGCTAAGCTTTCGTCAGGCAAGGTATCATCGTCACAACCAAATTCAAGCTAACGAGTCAAGAAAACAAATCATACTTACTTATCTGTACTTGTAGCTCACTTTCACTCTCGCACTAAAACCAAAAACAAAAAATAGGCTCATCAACACAACCAGACATTTGTCCGATCTTGCGCAATCGGAGTGATGGTTATAACTTAAATGTAGAAAGGGGGAGATAGTGGTAATCAAAACCTGATGACCGAGAACAGATATTAGTTTATCAGCCCTAATTACTTTGAGCCATCAATGCTGATTTCGTGCATAAGCGAACACAAAAGGCACATTCACATACAGAGATAGACACACTGACAAGCTTCGAGGTTGACACATAACAGTAACTAACCAAATCACTTTATACCTCATCAAAGGGGCCAGATATAGAGCTTTTAAAGGAGTTACCGGTGCGTTTTCTTGACTCGTTAGCTTGAATTTGGTTGTGACCATGATAACTTGCTCCGATGATGTTGGTCATATGACGGACGAAAGCTTAGCACCTCTTCACCGGAATCAAACGAGATTGCCTCGGAAACAGCGTCAGCATGTATGTTCCAGTAAAACCAATCGACAGCTGGTCAAGAGGAATCCGCCGTAGTCTCCTGGCCGAATCGGCCTTTTAATCTCTTCAACACACACTTTCACTTGAAATGGAAGTAAGCTCAACGTGTATGGAACAAGAGACTGCTCGAAACCCAACTTTTCTTCGAATTGCTATAGACTCCATAGTCTTAAGCTTTGAAGTTTCTGTAACCATCAAAACGTTGTGCTTTGGACCAGTCTACTGGGTCTCCTGTATTGGCCAGATGGAAGGAATACGCCTAATCTTGAGGCGATGGTCATTCACATAACCAAAGGTGGTAAAGTGACCAATCTGAGTAGCGTTCGAGTACCATATAAAAGGTGTTCAGAACGAAAGGTTAAGCTGACTGGAGAAAACACATGCAAAGGGATAAGATTGAATCAGCAATACCCAATACAGGCCAAACTCAAATCGAGCTATATTGGCGTAGCCTTCGTCCACATGTGCAAGTAGCACCATTGAAAAAACAAATCCGCAAAGCAAACCCAGCATTCAAAAATTATATCCGCATCTTGTCCAAGTCGACAATTGGAAGGATCCACGAAGGCAAACAGTTGGCCAAAAGCCCAATGGTCGCGGACTTCGCAGCCAACAATACCATTAGGATGGCACTAGACGCAAAGCTCTTAGACGAGACCACTATTTATAGAAATAAGAGGGCCAAGTTCAGGAAACTCGACTTGCGTAATTCGAAAGGAATGCGAATGGCAGAGGCCATTCATGCTCAATCAGATCCGACTGAAGTCTGAAAGCGAAGAAGTCAATTATCTTGTACCCCTTGGGGTGCGGCATGAGCTGCCTCTTCCGAGCAAGAACAAATGTGATAATTAGGTTTGCATTTGAGTTTATTATTGACTATGCGGCAGCAAGGAGCCATGGTGAATCAGGCAAATCAAGATTATAAAAGCTACCAGGTCGAAAAGATGTATCAAATAGGCTTGACATACACCTCCCATTACTTGCCACCAATGAAACCGTTCACTCCGCTGAGAGCCTATACGCATATAGACTATCAGCAGAGGCCGCAGATGAATTTAATGTAAAGTCATCTAATCGTGTTATTAAATTTTGGATGTTAGCATTTGAAATCTAAAGTAAAAAATAGACTATAGAAGGTATAGATAAATAAAGGGGGAAATAAAAGAATTGACTTTTTGCACAAGAAATCTAAGAACCATCTAGCAAAGTGATGTCAAAGGGAATAAAGATAATGCTTAAAAATTATATAAAAATGGTCCTTCACAGGGGCTTTTGAAAAGTACATAAAAGGCAAGCTTCTGCTGATAGAGATAAGAGCATAGTTGAATAGTAAAATGAGCGCACATTATAATAAAATAAAGCGACGAATTTTCAGTTTGCAAAAATGAAGAGATCAGATTGTGGATCGCATAAAAGGGTGGTAAAAATGAGCGAATAAAGAAGAGCCAAAAATAGGATGGCTCTTTGGAGAACCAAGATAAATCAATTATTTTACAGAGGAAGTTACATTCCATTGAAAATGCGTCTGACGAATGTTTGCGGAAGCCAAAATTTATACAACCCTTTGAATCAATTCAAGAGGCAAATAATGCTCATGAGGGCAAAAAATGGGAGCCCATGGTGATTTGGCGATGTCATTCAGAGTCGGTTTGAGCGATTGAATAATAAGGCAAACTATTTGGTTATTAGTGATGAAACAAGCGCATCATAAATTCAGTGCAGATAAGAAGGATGTTGAAATGGACACAAAGGGACTAGTTTTATGTGATATAGCGGGAGAGTTCTGTTCACCAGAACACATGACTCAGGTTCTCATGCCGACAGATGTGAGAAATTTGGAATGACATTATGCGAAGTAACAAATTCATAGGTAAAGTTAGTTCATATATGAGATGCAAGGTTTGATAGTCTTGGTTTCATCCAGAGAATATATTTGGGTTCAAGGTGATGGAGGAAATTTTGGCACACCAAGACGAATGTAGGAGCAGGCTTAAATATACCGGAAAGAAGAGATCTTTCATAGTTTAAGCAAAAGTTAATCAAAAGTTTTTATCAAAACAAGCTTATAAAAGGAATAATTTGGAACAGATGATCCCAGTGTGGTGTATCGGGAGAAAATTCGTAAAAGGAATCACTCGGAGTCCTTGGAAGGATTTTTCATTAGCAAAATAGATGATCTAGGACTGCATATTGAGGGAAGCAGGGCATAAGGATTCTATGATTTGGAATGTATGCCCTCATCCAGTCTCATGTAGGGCCAAAACAGAAGCGATAATATTCATTTTCATTGGGGATGTGTCTGTCTGGGTGCTGAAAGCGCCTGCTGTTTGAGCTGGTCAAGATGAGCGTCGATTAATCGCTCTAAATGACTGGAATGGGCGCGTTCTGTTATCAAGAATCGACAAGCCAAACCTAATACGCTGGTGTCAGTCTCGTCTCCGGTGCCAGCGCCCGCCTCCAATTCTGTATCTATCGCTAGGCCCAATCCGAGGCCGGAGGACTTCGATAGCGGCTCTAGTCTCCACTTGGTGGGAGATGGATCTGCGCTAAAAGCGGTAATTGGCGCTGAAACTGATGGAACCTCTAGCACTGAAGGAAATGAGACGTCGTGATGCAGATCGAGCGGAAAGGCTTGCTTCTTTGGCAGAGACAAGGCTGGAGAAGGACACTCGGAGGACAAGGATTCTACTGAAGGAACAGGAGATAGTTGTTGGCGAGCGAAGCAGACGATTGGAGAAATGGAGGGCGTGGATAGAGTTGGAACTGCTGATACTCCAGCCGAGTCAGGGGTCCGGCAGAGATGGGTTGTGCGAGGGGACGGTAGAGGTCGTGGGGAAAACAACCGAGTGTCACTTTCCTGTTGACAAACAGGACTAGAAGACCCGTTTCCGCCTTTCTGGAGGCTGAGGATTGCATCAATTTGAGATATCGGCTGGGATGAGGAATGGCATAGTTTGGGACATGAAGTGATAGCAGTCGTCTAATAAAGATAAAACAATAGTTTGATTAGTAAAAACAATGTGAAGATTCAGGCGGTGA